ATGCTGGTGTAAGTTGTATGTATGTGTTGCACGTAGTTCAATGCTGGTGTAAGTTGTATGTATGTGTTGCACGTAGTTCAATGCTGGTGTAAGTTGTATGTATGTGTTGCACGTAGTTCAATGCTGGTGTAAGTTGTATGTATGTGTTGCACGTAGTTCAATGCTGGTGTAAGTTGTATGTATGTGTTGCACGTAGTTCAATGCTGGTGTAAGTTGTATGTATGTGTTGCACGTAGTTCAATGCTGGTGTAAGTTGTATGTATGTGTTGCACGTAGTTCAATGCTGGTGTAAGTTGTATGTATGTGTTGCACGTAGTTCAATGCTGGTGTAAGTTGTATGTATGTGTTGCACGTAGTTCAATGCTGGTGTAAGTTGTATGTATGTGTTGCACGTAGTTCAATGCTGGTGTAAGTTGTATGTATGTGTTGCACGTAGTTCAATGCTGGTGTAAGTTGTATGTATGTGTTGCACGTAGTTCAATGCTGGTGTAAGTTGTATGTATGTGTTGCACGTAGTTCAATGCTGGTGTAAGTTGTATGTATGTGTTGCACGTAGTTCAATGCTGGTGTAAGTTGTATGTATGTGTTGCACGTAGTTCAATGCTGGTGTAAGTTGTATGTATGTGTTGCACGTAGTTCAATGCTGGTGTAAGTTGTATGTATGTGTTGCACGTAGTTCAATGCTGGTGTAAGTTGTATGTATGTGTTGCACGTAGTTCAATGCTGGTGTAAGTTGTATGTATGTGTTGCACGTAGTTCAATGCTGGTGTAAGTTGTATGTATGTGTTGCACGTAGTTCAATGCTGGTGTAAGTTGTATGTATGTGTTGCACGTAGTTCAATGCTGGTGTAAGTTGTACGTATGTGTTGCATGTAGTTCAATGCTGGTGTAGGTTGTATGTATGTGTTGCACATAGTTCAATGCTGGTGTAGGTTGTATGTATGTGTTGCACGTAGTTCAATGCTGGTGTAAGTTGTATGTATGTGTTGCACGTAGTTCAATGCTGGTGTAAGTTGTATGTATGTGTTGCACGTAGTTCAATGCTGGTGTAAGTTGTATGTATGTGTTGCACGTAGTTCAATGCTGGTGTAAGTTGTATGTATGTGTTGCACGTAGTTCAATGCTGGTGTAAGTTGTATGTATGTGTTGCACGTAGTTCAATGGTGGTGTAAGTTGTATGTATGTGTTGCACGTAGTTCAATGCTGGTGTAAGTTGTATGTATGTGTTGCACGTAGTTCAATGCTGGTGTAAGTTGTATGTATGTGTTGCACGTAGTTCAATGCTGGTGTAAGTTGTATGTATGTGTTGCACGTAGTTCAATGCTGGTGTAAGTTGTATGTATGTGTTGCACGTAGTTCAATGCTGGTGTAAGTTGTATGTATGTGTTGCACGTAGTTCAATGCTGGTGTAAGTTGTACGTATGTGTTGCATGTAGTTCAATGCTGGTGTAGGTTGTATGTATGTGTTGCACATAGTTCAATGCTGGTGTAGGTTGTATGTATGTGTTGCACGTAGTTCAATGCTGGTGTAAGTTGTATGTATGTGTTGCACGTAGTTCAATGCTGGTGTAAGTTGTATGTATGTGTTGCACGTAGTTCAATGCTGGTGTAAGTTGTATGTATGTGTTGCACGTAGTTCAATGCTGGTGTAAGTTGTATGTATGTGTTGCACGTAGTTCAATGCTGGTGTAAGTTGTATGTATGTGTTGCACGTAGTTCAATGCTGGTGTAGGTTGTATGTATGTGTTGCACGTAGTTCAATGCTGGTGTAAGTTGTATGTATGTGTTGCACGTAGTTCAATGCTGGTGTAAGTTGTATGTATGTGTTGCACGTAGTTCAATGCTGGTGTAGGTTGTATGTATGTGTTGCACGTAGTTCAATGCTGGTGTAAGTTGTATGTATGTGTTGCACGTAGTTCAATGCTGGTGTAAGTTGTATGTATGTGTTGCACGTAGTTCAATGCTGGTGTAAGTTGTTTGTATGTGTTGCACGTAGTTCAATGCTGGTGTAGGTTGTAGGTATGTGTTGCACGTAGTTCAATGCTGGTGTAGGTTGTATGTATGTGTTGCACGTAGTTCAATGCTGGTGTAAGTTGTATGTATGTGTTGCACGTAGTTCAATGCTGGTGTAAGTTGTATGTATGTGTTGCACGTAGTTCAATGCTGGTGTAGGTTGTATGTATGTGTTGCACGTAGTTCAATGCTGGTGTAAGTTGTATGTATGTGTTGCACGTAGTTCAATGCTGGTGTAAGTTGTATGTATGTGTTGCACGTAGTTCAATGCTGGTGTAAGTTGTTTGTATGTGTTGCACGTAGTTCAATGCTGGTGTAGGTTGTAGGTATGTGTTGCACGTAGTTCAATGCTGGTGTAGGTTGTATGTATGTGTTGCACGTAGTTCAATGCTGGTGTAAGTTGTATGTATGTGTTGCACGTAGTTCAATGCTGGTGTAGGTTGTATGTATGTGTTGCACGTAGTTCAATGCTGGTGTAAGTTGTATGTATGTGTTGCACGTAGTTCAATGCTGGTGTAAGTTGTATGTATGTGTTGCACGTAGTTCAATGCTGGTGTAAGTTGTATGTATGTGTTGCACGTAGTTCAATCTACTCAAATTGTGGCGTCATTTAACTCTGCTGGCCACTTGACCAATTGACCAGACACGCCAGTCGTGTTGATAGTTTTAATATTTATGACGTGTGTTGCCACTGTGTAACATTTTTAATTCGATTTAAAAAAATCGCCCGTTAACTTTTGTTCCTCGTGTCTTAAACCTCTCAGTGAACTTGTCGTGTGTGAAGGGGAGGGGGCGACTAAACAATAAGTCTTCAGCTGTGGTGCCAACAGGGAGAATGGAGATAAACTTTAATAAAACATTGGATCACTTGAACACAAGGAATGTCGCAACAAAACGTCCCGCCGTCACGGCGAACGATCAGCTGAGAGGGGGAGGGTGGGGGTTAACACAGCAGGATTGTCTTTAATTTAAATGTAGAAATCAATAGGACTTAACGGAGGTCAGGGGTCAGCCTGTTGATCACACGGGTTGGATACACATCTGACATTTTGACTGGAAGGGAGGGGGGCTGATGGCGCCCTAAAGTAAAATGTGAGATCAATCTAGTCAAGAGTAAGTGACCACCCCACGGGACACCCCGGGGATAACCCCCGGGTTTTAGCGAATGATTACCAATTTTAGACGACTTTTGGTAATGGATCAAAGTTAGAATTAACTAGAATTAGAATCTCTGCTCCTCCTTTCAGCTCTGCGAAATTTAGCCGGCAGGAATGAGAGGCTTTTTTTTTTTGTTTAAAAAAATGTCAATTTAATCCATTTTTACCTCGGCTAATGTTTATGACAGTTTAAAAATTCCTAAAATAGATCTAGGCCTAAATCGTATCATGAATAACGAAGATGTAGACTACATTAGCACCAAAAAAATAACAAACCTTCAATTTTACGAGGGTTTTTACTCAAAAATAAATCCACAAGCACAGCCTACAAAATGTATCGTGTCTGGTGTCTGCTAGCTCAAAAACAAAACGACTATTCAAAATGATACCAATCACGCGCAAGTAAACGAAACAAACCAAATCAATTCAACACAGGACGGAGCTGTGCTTTTATCGCTGCCTCGGTGCCTTTCAAAGGGCCCTCGGTGGCCCATTGTGCCAAACCTTCAGACTTACCTAACAGACGGCGCTTTGTCTGACAGAAATAAAATTAGATTGTCAAAGATTGCTGCAAAAGTCAGACTTGAGGGCTATAAGATTCTTTTTTTTTTCTCGAATGCCGGTTTTATTGAACCGTTAATTTTGATAGTTGAACTTTTCAGTTCATTAATTACCTGACTACTGAGTACACATCACGTTAATGATTGTTTTTAGACTCGTAGAGGAAAATATATTATAGATACTTCCAGTTTAATCAATATTCTTTGGTTAAAAAATAACAACGTTTGTTTATATTCGTGTGCACTTGGTAGGGGAAGCTTAAGTATCTACAAAATAAATAAATATTTTACCTTGAACTTCGAGATCACCCCCCCCCCCCCCAACATTTCCAATAAAAATTGTCCAAAATTAAGCGAAAGTAACAAAACATGGTACAGTAGCATTAAGTTATACTCAATAACATATAGTTAAGTTATGTTTTAGGAAAAGAAGTAGCATTAATAGTGTAACGAGTAAGTGAATTAAGTGCCCCAACGAGCATTTCAAGGGTGACTAGCAGAAGTGTAGTTCCTCTTACCATCCTCTTCAACCTACACCAACATTTCCCCGGAGCTTAAATCATGCTTTAGCCTAGAAGTCTTGTGTACAGAGTGTACCGGCAAAGGTCGAGAGAGAGAGAGAGAGATCGCAAGGCATGGACAACCCATAACTTCTGGCTAATGACCTGATACTCCACTTGTTTGAGTGCTTCTATTGACTCCCGAGACAAAATGGAGCCCTATACATCCATAGGATACATCTAACCCTAACCCTAACCCTAGGCCCCGAAAACATTTCTTCCATGGCGAACTCATAATTTGACGCCCATCATTATATATATATATATATATATATATATATATATATATATATATATATATATATATATATATATATATATATATATATATATTATAAGCGTACTCTATGTACTCCATGGAAGAAATGTTTTCGGGGCCTAGAGCCGAGATCATTAGTTAGGATGAAACGGGATCATTTATGGCTTTATTTGTAAAAAAAAATTACTTTCGTTATCACAACTAAACTTGGGTTTGTGCTTTTACAGAAGGCGCACTTTACTTTGTTGTGTTAGGGCCGACATGTAGGTCTGGTTTCTGGGGGGGGGAAATGTTAGCTCAGAGTTAGTGTCTCACCTTTATTTTCTTTTATCGCTTAATTTTAGCCTAAAGTTTCATTCATCTAAAATTTCTGGTTTCATCTTTCTTATTTTGGCTTCATTTATGTTAGATTTTAAAACCTGGCATTGTTTTTAAAAACGTATCTGGTCAAGTGTAGCCTAGCAGACTAAACTTATAACTTCTCTAATAGCGATTTAGTTCATAGGCAAAGAAGATCTATTTCTGCATTTAAACAAACGTAACAGGCCGTAGAATAGCTTTATTATCTAGAAATGTCTTGATACAGAAACAGAAATGTCTCCCACAAAATCCAAAAGATAATTAACAACATTTAATAATACGGCTATAGATCTAACTTAGTAACTAAGTACTTGTGTAGTAGATCTAGATCTAGTAGATTATTTCTAGTAACAGTCAGTTAGGGCGGGTTAGGCCCTAACTGACGTAGATCTGCTGTGCTAACTAATTTACTAGATTCTAGACCAGTGGTTCCCAACCTTTTTCGAGTGGCGACCCCCTTTTATAAAAATTAAGTGACCCGCGACCCCCATAGAATTAAAAAGGCGAAATTATTATGGAAATCAATAAGCACTAAACTAAGATTTTTTGGTAGACTTTCAATATGAACTACTCTTAATAACTGTTTTAATACCATGAGTAAAATTGCATACTATTCACTAAACATTCGCGGTTAATTTTTTTTTTAAAGTATCTTTTTTTGTTAACGCTAACATATGTCATTATCATTATCTTAATTTTGTTTTTAATCGAAAATTAGTGTTGAAAATCTATTGTCGAAAATTCAATCAATTTTACGTTTGGGTATGAATGGTGAATACTACACCAAAATTGAGTGTGCAGTTTTTTATCTTACGCGGAATCATTCTACAAATCAAAGAATTCATCTTGTAATTCATCGTGAATGCTGGCAACAGATTTTATATAATTTACCACTTATACCAGCAATGGACTCTTTGTGATGGCGATTGGTGAGGGTTGTGGTTAGGGAGCGAAATCTTTTCTGCTTTCTGAAAGCCCGATTTTGACCTAAACATAGATGGTGCACCATCCGCACAAACCCTCACAGCCGTTTTAACCCATTTTAATCATCCAATTAAAAAAAAAAATTATTTTCTCCATGCTATCTTCACAAAAGAGCAACTCTTCTTTGCTATCATCTGAATGAATATAGACAAAGACCAGCAACTGCGAACACGAACTAACGACTGTTGATTTATCAACTTGAAAAGCAAACAATGGTGAAAGCTTAATTTCAATAAAAATGTGTTATTTAACATCTACGGACATGTAAGAATTAACTTCACCATCTTCAACATGCAGCGTTTGATGAGATTTTCTCCTAATGTGTTTTTTTGCTGGACATTTTCTGTCGCGACTTCATGTGATGCTTGACTAATGCTGTGTTTTCTTGGTGAAAACGTTCTGTTCGATCAAGTCTCTGACGTTTGCAACTAGCTTCATACCGACGAAAGAACTCCATATCTTTTTTGGTGTGTTTCGAATGACTCGTCTCAAATGACGTTTTAGTTTTGAAGATTTCATAAACTCGTGACTGAGAACAACTTTGTACAGTACGCTTTGCTTCTTCTCTATTCCCTTTCCAGTGATGTTAGTAAAGCCGAATTTCAAAAATTCTTCTAAATATTTATGTTTTGTTTCAAATTACTAAGGTTTAGTATACCAGTTGGCGACCCCCCAGAAAGCCTTTCGCGACCCCCAGGGGGGTCGCGACCCCCAGGTTGGGAACCCGTGTTCTAGACAGACTAACACAGTACTTAGTACTTAGATCTAGAGAATCTAGATCTAGTACTTACTAACACTTAAAGCCTAACTGTTAGAATAGATGTTTTCTAGACTAGATCTAGATTCTACTTACTTACTCATTACTGCAGTGTAGTTTGTTAGTTACATAATTTATTTAGATCTAATTAATACATAGGCCCTACATATTATTTTATTATTAACTATATATAGTCTAACTACTAAACTAAGTAAAGTACTAGTCTAGATCTTAGTAGGCCTAACTTTTCTAGTTTAACACTTAGCTTTTTTTAAGCCCTATTTTTTTTAAAAGTCATTTAAAAAGCCAAGAAATTTTTTCACTTCACTACTCATTACCAATTACAAGTAGGTCTACATCTAATTAGTAATTAGTAGAGCTCTGTTACTGTTAGTGTGCTAGACATCTTTTTCAGTATAATAATAATTAATGGGGTAACAGTAACAACCATCATACTGCTTTAGTTGCAATCCTTTTAAAAGTTCCACTAGACCAGAGATATCAGATTACAGATACAGATAAGAATATTAAATTTAAAATAATCCCAAACAAAGTGTAACCAACATTCAAGTGTTGTGATTTTTCTATTTGAATGATACAGCTCTGTCAACAATAGCCTCATGTGTTGTTTTTGTTTCCATAGACCTAATATCACTACTATGACAAGTGATAAAACAGTCGAACAAGTGATCACTGAACCTGCTAAATGTACTTACACAAGCTGTTACTGGTTTGTAGCAATAATAGTTTTAATTTAGTTAGAGATAGCGATAAAAGAAATAGTAAATCAGACTATTTGCACTTGTTCAAAATACATTTGGGATTAGTAAATGTCAGCCGATAGTTACTCAGTAAAGCTCCTGGTTGCTATAAATACTATAATGAATAGTCGTCGTCCCCCCCTCCCCCCCTTGTAGTTTGCTCTTCGTTGGTCAAAGGCTATGGAAGCAAATCCAGAAAGAAAAGTTGGCAGAAATCAGAGTATATGGCTCTTAACAAGTTGACACACAATAGCCTACTTAATTGTGTTGGAGAATATCCCTCCAACATTACAATTAAGAATAAAAAAGAAAAAGAAGATTATTCAGTAAGATTATTGGAGTCACAACAAAAACTGGACATAAACCTCCTCCCCCACCCCAATTTAGTTTTTTTTTACAATTTATTCAACACTGACGACAAGGTAATTTTCACTTACACAATTGTGTGAAAACAAAAAAAAATTGTATTTGAAGGCTGGCACTAAAGCTCTCAGGTTAGAATGTCATCCCAATCTATGGAGATTTATTGACTTCATAAACATGGCAAATTGGCTATACTGAATGCATTATAGATCTATGTATAAAGCTTCAGCCCTTTGTTAATCAAAGATGAACAAATCTTTTGATAGATGCACAGTTTGTATGGAATCAGACACAATCTCATTTTAAAACTTTTGCTTTGATCACAGAAATGATGTGTTCAACTCAATTTTGGACAATTTTTTGTTATTTAACATTTTTATTTTTATTATTTTTTTTTTTTTATTATTTAGCTTAATAAGAACATTTATATGTGTTTTACTTCTTTATTAAATTTAAAAGTTTAATGTTATAAATGTTGTTATACTTGTTTCATAAATAATTACTTTCACTTTAACATAAAGTACGAAAAAATACTACTCATTGAGAACTAATATGTTTTTCTTCTGTTTGTTTTACATTTCCAATTCTTGTGGGTAGTTTTCTTATTTATACCACAAATATTTAGGTCATATATATGTCACAGTTTTTTCAGGGAACCACATATATTTTGTGTGTGGTCACCTTAGTTCTCTTTTGTGTTAAACAAATGTGAAATATGTTAAACACAAATGAAAATCTTTAATATTACTACTAAAATCAGCTAAATGCTATTTGACAATAGTATGCATCCCTAAATAAAGTTTGTAGGTATGTGTATAATTTAATGTTTCAGTGAGGAAAATATTTGGAAACTGTGTGCTCTCATACAAGAATGTATAATTTAATGTTTCAGTGAGGAAAATATTTGGAAACTGTGTGCTCTCATACAAGAAGAATGCCATGAGTCTGAACTTTCAAAGTGCTACTCTGTATTTATCTCAAACAAATCTAAAAAGGTTCTGACATTTCACAGTTTTAGTTGGCTTAAATGTTTTGTTCCTGGTTAAGAAATAAAACCTATAACTGTTTTGTTTGTTTTTCCATTGAGAGTATTTGTATTTTATTCAAATAAATCATTTAACAGTCTTAGGTAACATTTATTGAATCTTGTTCTAAATAAATAAGTCAAAACAACTATTTTTTTAATTAAGATGTCAGGTTTGATTGATGAAAGTTTAAAACTATATTTCTTTACATTTTCTATTTTATTAAATGTATTTGATTTCAGATTCCACTGTGGCATCAAAAAGCTAGCAAAGCAGAAGACAGGCTGATCGTATGGGTTTGTTCCCCTTATAGCTCTTTTCTTCTTGCTTTGTTACTTGAAATATGTTTTTAACCTCTTGTGTATTCATAGTAGAAGTTTATCTTGTATGTTGTCTTGTATATGGATTCAGTTTTGTGAAATTTTTAGTCCAATACTACACAAATTACAAATGTTTAGTCCAATAATACACAAGTTACAAATTTTTAGTCCAATACTACACAAGTTACAAATGTTTAGTTTAGTTATATGAGTTGTAAGGTAGCCTTCTTTTGAATGACTGCTATGTCCTGTAGGACTACCATCAGATAATGTCCTGTAGGACTACCATCAGATAATGTCCTGTAGGACTACCATCAGATAATGTCCTGTAGGACTACCATCAGATAATGTCCTGTAGGACTACCATATGATCTTGTCCTGTAGGACTACTATCAGATAATGTCCTGTAGGACTACCATATGATCTTGTCCTGTAGGACTACCATGTGATTATGTTATACGTTGATGCTGGACGTACGTTGGTGTATGATCTAGACACTGAGCTGGGTTTCCCATGCACTCTCAAGGACTACAACTCTGCATGTCTTGGGGATGAAAGAAACTTTGATGATAAATTCAAAAGGTGAAATTAATTTATCTTTGCAACTACCAAAGTTAAGTTTTCATTTAGTTTTTTTAAAGTGAGGGCCTATATAATTGTTATGTACAGTGTTCTAGCCTACTGGTTGTTTAAGATATGTTTCTCTCTACCAGTGGGCTTGAACATGTTTTAATTCACACTTGAATCCTTTACTGTTAGAATGTTTAGAGTTATCCCTGCTCCTGAGTTCCTAACAACATTTGCCTCAGACCGATCTCATATGCTCAATGATAGAAAGGAGTGGTTGTCACCTCCACCTAACTATCCACAAATCACTTGTCCAGGTAAGTGATGTTTCCTCCTCTAGGGTACTGTCTTTACTTGCTTGTCACATCAAGTTACCTGTTAGTTACAGTAGACTGAGATATTGTTTGAATGTTTACATCAAGTTACCTGTTAGTGTTAGTTACAGTAGACTGAGATATTGTTTGAATGTTTACATCAAGTTACCTGTTAGTTACAGTAGACTGAGATATTGTTTGAATGTTTATTTCACCACAGGCTCGTCCAACAACATTGATGAATTTATCTCTATGGACATCTCAAGCAAACATGGAGAAGTGTATCATCTGCATGAATTTTTAAACAAGTTTCTTTAGTTTTTCATCTGATTGTATTTTAAACAGTAGCTTGCTGAGTTTTCTTTAAATTAGATCATAAAATAAATCTGTGAAAATCAACAAAATCTTTTAGTTTTATATTTTTTTATATTTAAGCAGTTTACTCAGGTGAAAGTATGTTTTATTTTCCTTGTACCCAGCTTTGAAAATTAAAAAAACCACCATTATCATCACATCATTCCATTTTTAATATTATAAATACTGCATTAATTTAGCATTTAAGTTCATATTTTGTGCAGACATATGCTGCTAGTTTTTATTTTTTACTTCGTCTTTGGTTAGAATGAAAGAAACAATAATATGAAAAAAATAAAACATGGCTCCTCTTGCCACAACTTGGCGAGATCCTTGCCAGGGCCCATACCTGGACATTAGATTATGACAACCAGTGACCTACTCATTGTGATCCCTTTCTTGACCTGTGCAGGTATTGGCCAAAGGAGTGCTTGGCATTGAGTTTGGTACCAGTTTTAGTTTCAGCAACTACCAAAAGGAAACAATCCAATCAGCAGGGTTTTTTTTTATTTTGGAGTTGTCTCTCTTAGGTTATTATTCCCCAAGCCTCATCTACCACCCATTATGCAATCCCCTAGTTCTAATACCAGCTATAGTAAACAACTCTCATGGTTCTTAAATGTTGGTTAAAAATGGTTATTATATTTAAATTGAAGTTGGCAACATTTTACACAAAAGTATACCTTAACATGTTATTGAAATAAAACATAATGTTGAAACATTATCCTTCTTGTTACTTTCTGCAGTATGTTGTCTAAATAGCTTTTCTTAGTTTACTATATCAGTCTATATGTAAGAGTTGGATTTGTCAAATTTGGTAACTAAATTTTGAACCATTTCTAATTCAGCACTTTCTTCCCAATGATAGTTCAAGCATGTCAATTTTTCAGTCTGAATGGATACTTAATTAATCATTAGAAAAATAATTTAATAATTGTTATATTCAATTACTAATGGGAATGATAAAAAGTCACTGATAAGTCAATGATAATAATGACTGTACCTGGTGACACCCAACCATGGTGGTGATTACTCAATGAGTCGGGGATAATAATTAGTAGTGATTACTTAATTAGTCCAGTTCTGCTGTATGGAGCAGAGACATGGAGAGTCTCCAAGGCAAGCACAGCAAAGATACAGACCTTCATGAATAGATGCCTTAGACAGATACTGAAATTGAGATGGCAGGACAAAGTGCCGAACTTGGAACTATGGAGGAAAGCTAGGCAGGAGCCTATAGGTGTGCAAATAAGAAGGAGGAAGTGGCGCTGGGTGGGTCACACACTGCGAAAGGCTCACACAAATGTTACACGCCAAGCGCTTGAGTGGAACCCCCAGGAAAAGCGGAAGAGAGGGCGCCCAAGACAGACCTGGAGGCGGAGTCTTCTTGAAGAACTGAAGCCAATAGGGATGTCTTGGGAGATGTCAAAATTAATAGCCGAGGATAGGAAGAAATGGTGGAGGCCCTATGCTCCATAAGGAGCAAAGAGGACTAAGTCAAGTCAAAGTAAGTCACTTAATTAGTCAGGAAGCTGATGTTCATGTTGAATATTTTCGTCATAGCGAAAAGCTACTAAAGCACAGGTAATGGTCATTTAAAGTAATTTTTTAAAGGAAATATTAGATACATTAAGTCACTTGGGTACAAAACAAATTTCTTCCTCAGAAGTCTTGACTCAATATTGATTGCAGGGAAATAATTTTAAATATAAGCTGGGTTTTTTTTTTAACTTAATTTAATGGTTACAATATCTCAATACTAAAATTTTTTAGTAAAAAGTAGAAAATTACTTAAATAAAACAGTTATAAAATCCTTTATGATCATACATTTTTAAATGCATTCAAATAAGTAAATAATAATAAATTATAATAGGAAAAATATGGGCCTAAACATTTTTTACTAAGAAAATTTGTTTATTTTCTTGTTTTTATTGCATTTAAAACCTTATTTTTATTAAGTTCTTTGTGCTTGTTTATTTGATGGCAAATATAGTTATTTGTGTGTGTGTTTGTCGTTACACACAAATGCATAAAAACATTTCTTTTTAAATCAAATGTTTATGATTGTTCAGAAATTATAAATTAACACTCATAATTTATTAATTACCTTTTACTTTTACAATATTTTTTTTTAATCCAGTAGGGCCTATCAAAAAGTGTAATGTGTACGAACTCTTCAAGTTGGCAAATTTATAAATCTTCGATTTGGCAACTTTTAAAGGTTTTAAATCTGGCAATACATGTAAATAATTGAAAACAATGATGGAGAAGCATGGAGCAGGCGATAAGCTGTCTAATAACAAAACAGAAACAGACCCAGTTAAAAAAATCTTCCATGAAATTCCTAGAGGAAAACCAAAATCAGGTCGTATGTGGAAAGAAGTTAGAACCCAGAGGTAAATCGCTTACCTGACCGTAAATGAAAATTTTTGTATGCGTTGTGCTGGGTTATTTGTTGTCAAAATTGTCAACTTTAATAAACTTTAATTAATAATTTAATAATTTTTGGTTGTCAACTTTTAAGACTTTTATTATTTAATTTGCTGAGTTTTATTAATGTGTTGGGGTACTGACTGGTACCACTGATTCTCTACTCTTGAGTCTTTGGAAAATGTGAAATGGTGAGGCAATTTTACATGAGATGGGCTCGAAATCTGCTAGTCTAGTGACAGATTTGGGTAAAACCTTAGTTTAGCGTCGGAAATTATCGAGTAATGTTTGTTGAGTTTCGGTAACTAGAGTTACGGTAAGCCATGGTTTATTTGACCATTGAAATATAAATAAATTGATAGTCGATTGTAGTAAATTAATGTTTTAATTTTTTAAGTTTAATCGACAAAAGGAAACTAGAATAAATATCATAGTAGATTTAAATTAGTAGATCTAAAAATAAAGAAAACATATATTAATATAAGTAATGAAGTCAAATGTAATAATTTAATGTTTTTGGCTTGCAGCGGATTTGCGACCATTAATTATTAATTAATTAAATCTAGATCTAGCTAGATATTAGTTTTTCTCACTAAATCTAGAATTTACGCAATTATCAATTTAAACATGACCACTGAATAATAGACATCCATATTTAATCCATTAGGCACTAACTTTGGAGTTTTTAGTTCGTTTTGAACTAAATTAATTTAATATTTATTGTCAATCACTGCCATGTCCAACACATCTCTCCATGACAACTCTTCTTAAGCTTGAAGCTAAAGAAAACCACAAATCAGGTTAGACTCCATGCACAAGAGTTCCTCACTAGTGATCACCAAATAGCGGTCACGTGGTTTTTAAAAAATAAAAATAAATTGGTTGTGATACGGACGCCGGTCTTATAAAAAAACAGCTCACAATATTTGATTTCTTTTTTCATAGACTGATAAAACTAATAATGCTTTACGTTCTCGCTCATTTCTGTACCTACACTGTTGATATTTTTTAAATTCTATTAATTTTGATGAAACCAACTTTTGAATTTAGCCTCCGTTCTCCAAACCAAATTTTAAAATGCTTTTCTGGCATATCTAACCCTGCCACTTATGGTTTGTTGTTATGACACGGAAATCCCGCCATTTTGCGCGTGGTAAACATTTTTAAATGTAATTAGTTGAAGGTCTCTGGAATTTGGCCGAAAAATCACCGGAAATTAAACGTCCGGTCCGGGCGCCATATTGTTGTTAGCAACCGACCACGCCTCCAAGTTAGCGAGAAATACTACTAGATATCTAGCTGCTAGGCCAAGTTAAAAAAATCTAGATTACAAAAATAGTAAAAATGATTACAAAATGTAAAAATGATTACAAAAATAAATCTATCCGAATCTTAAACATTCTGTATAAAAATAAAACATGACGCCAAATAAAGTATGGTTTACAGTACTTCCTGTGAATTCCGGAAGTGTGTGACAGACTTTGGCATTGTTTTACTGTTTTTTACTGCTATACGATTCCGGAATAATAACCGACGCTAAACTAAGGTTTTACCCAGATTTGTATCGCATTTTACCTCAACCAATTGTCAATTGATGATGCTGGGTGGGAGGTAAAATGCAAAGATGTCTGCCAACATCATTAACATAGGTAAAATCACAATATAGTGTCGGAAATTATCTGGTAATGTTTGTTGTTTTTTGGTAACATTCGTTATTGTAAACCATAGTTTATTTGAGCGTTGAAATAAAAATAGAGTCAAGTACATTAAAATTAAGGCCGCATTTGCTCAGTTCGCGCCGCGGTACACTTAATCTTTACCCTAGGTGGCACTCGATCTAAAAAAATACAGATATCAGGACTGCCCGATTTATTTTTTTTTTTTTTTGGCGGTAACAATTTAATGTTGACATAGATCTAGATCGAGTTTAAGTGTATTTATATTATTTCAACATCTAAGAGTCTATTACTTGTAAAAAAAACAGTACAGTGTAGTGTCAAGGAAAATTTGTGAGGTCAGATGATAATCCTAGATCTAGCAGCAACCTAGCTGTATCAAACTGTCCTTAACCTGTAGGTGATAGTAGATCTAAGTCTATATTATTTATCCTATGTGAACTTAAAAAAAAATTTCAAATTGCTTGAGGAGGGAGGGGGTGGGAGGAAGAGAGAAGTGAAGACAGACGATCTTGTGTGGAACGTCTATGACGTATGCTTTAGGCCTGCTGAACTCACAGTGACCTCGTGGGCCGTGGTGGGATTTTCCACTCACTGGATAGTAAACGTAAGGCAAGCAAGCAATCACGACAGTGACGATGTTTGGAAATTTTATTTAAAAAAAGCATAGTCTACGTCATATTTTCAATATGAAAAAAAAATGTAAAAAAAACTAGTACGGGCTGAGCTAACCCCGGGTTCAAACTCTGAACTCCGGGTCTATGAACTTCAGACTACAGCTGGCACACTGTTGACTTAACCACAGCGAATGTGATAGAGATGTAAAAAGTAAGCATTTTCAATTATAAGATGGCAAATCAAACCTGCGAGACGCGTAGTCTATTCTTTAGGGGCCACGCTCTGCGAGACGCGTAGTTACTTCGTAAAATTAAATTTATGTTTCAACTTAATTTAATGTTTAATTGACATAAAACTAGCAACAATTAGTAAATCTAGGCCTAAATGTTATTAATAAAGTCGAGTGTAGTAAAACAGTATTTAAATTGCAAATAAAATCAATCCTTGTTCATTTTTAAACATTATGTATTAAAAATATTATGGCGGCAAATAAATGATGGTTTACAGTATTTCCAGTGGTTTCCGGAATGGCCTGACAGACTATGCCATATTTTTACTGTTTTTTACTGCTGTACAGTTCCGTAATAATAACCGACGCTATATAATGATTATACCTAACATTATTATACCCAAATTTTAATGTGCCAATCTGTCATCTGATGATTTACTATGATAAGTAAGGGTGTTGGTGAATTGCAAAACTTGAATTGGTGAGGCGGTAAATTGCTGGAAGAAAATGTGTGACATACCTGTGAAATCACTGGTAAATTACTAAATAGGATAGTGAGACAGTTTGTGATTAATTTGTTTTCATGTGGGTGCACAAATCTATCTTCTATCTATCTATCTATCTATATATATAAAAAGCAATGTATGTGTGTTTGTGTGTGTGTTTGTCCTTTATGCATTACTACACCTCTCATCTCATCGCCGTGAAACTTTGGGAAGTTGTTGAGAATATTCCTGGGGAGGTTTCTGCGGGAAAAAAAATTTCAAATTCGCAGGGGTGGCGCCCCGGCAGGGCGCGATTTGTTTTTCTCTATATACGGTATATAAAAATATTAAAAGTAAATTGCAGTGACACCGTTCACACGATCGCCATGAAACTTTAGAAAGATGTTGAGAATACTCCTGGGGAGGTTTTTACGCAAAAACATTTTTAAATTCGTAGGGGTGGCGCCCCGGCAGGGTGCGATTTGTTTTTCTCTATATACCGTATATAAAAATACAAGTCGATTTTGGTTTGGCGTCGTTCATCCGATAGCCATGAGACTTTGGGGAGTTCATTATACCACTCTAGGGAAGGGTTCTGTAAAAAATCATTTTTATTTTCGCAAGGGCGGCGCCACAGGAGGGTGCGATTTTTCTCTATATACGGTATATAAAAATAATAAAAGTGAATTGCAGTGACACCGATCATCTGATAGGCATGAAACTTTGGGGAGTTCATTATAAAACTCTACGAAGGGTTCTGTAAAAAATCATTTTTAATTTCGCAAGGGCGGCGCCAGGGGAGTGTGCAATTTTTCTCTATATACAGTATATAAAAATAAAAGTCGATTTTGGTGTGACACCGTTATCCAATAGCCATGAGACTTTGGGGGAGTTGATTAGAACATTTCAGGGAAGGGTTCTGTAAAAAAAAATATCCTTTTTAAATTTCGCAAGGGCGGCGCCACGGGAGGCTGCGATTTTTCTCTATATGCAGTTTATAAAAATAAAAGTCTATTTCGGTTTCACACCGTTCATCAGTGTACCGTGAAACTTTGAGGAGATGATTAGATAACTCAATAGTAGGGTTCTGCAAAAAAAAAAAATATTGTTTAATATTGCAAGGGCGGCGCCCTCTGGGGGGGGGGGGGGGTGATTTTTTTTTCTCTATACACGGTATATAAAAAATAAAACTCGGATGCGGTTCATCCGAGTACCATGAAACTTTAGGGAGTAGATGAGAATACTCCCGAGAATATTTCTGCGAAAAAGAAAATAAAGTTTCTTATGGGCAGCGCCATATAGGGTACAACTTTCGTCAGTACACTGTTTGGCGCCCATAGTTTTAGAGCGACGATGTTGGCACTTGGCATCCGTTAATCGAGCGTCCTGCATAGCGAGTAAGGGGTACTACTATATTCAGCGGTAAAACTAAAACAGGCTTCTAAAAATAACTTTGTAACGCGAGGAAATCCTTCTGTACAGTTTCGTCACCTTGCGAAAGATGAAAAAATAACTTTTTGTATATGAGGAGCCTACTGTAGAGTTTCGTCACTTTGCGAATGATGCAATAAGCATCTATTATTAGACAATCCAGTCAGAAATTGAGATCGAGCATCTAATAATAGACCATTAGTAACGCTAGCATATTGCATCAGTCACAATGATATTTTAAACACGTCAAATAATTTTTTATATGTTAAAGAAAAAAATCCTGTTCATTTGTGTCACTTTAGCAAATGTCGAAATCTGCATCATTATTAACAGGATGCTATTTGGCACGATGGCGCCTGTTAGTTTTAAGGAGCCAGGGGTAGTACGCCGCGCCTATGCAGTAGTGTAATCGGGGGGTGGGGGCCCTGAGAGCGCCCCTCTACGCTCTGACACAGAGGCGGTCACCGAAGTGTGTTACCATATTATTTCGGTGAGTGATTAATGTACACTCAAGGTTTTCATGCGGTAGTATAGGTATACCCGTGTCCTGATATTTTATGATCCAAGCGCAGGCATTGTTTACATTTAAATAACTCATTTTTAGAAAATAAGGTCACGCGTCTAAGAACATATAATTATAATTGATAACGCGTTGGTGAAATCCTAATATATTTCGTCAAACTTTCTTCTATCCCCGCGGCAACGCGCGGGGGTCGGGTACGCTAGTAAAAGTTATAAACTAAACAAGTAGATCTAGCTAGATATATCATGAGTGTTGAAGGCCTTTGTTGTTCTTAAAAAAAAATTTCTTTTGATCTAATTTAGATTTTTTTTAAATATTAAAAAATCTTAACACCATTGCTCCTATGATCGCTTACTCAGATTTTCTTGTGAGTTCTCTGAGATAAAAAAAAAATTTTAAATCTAGATCTTTATTTATATTTCCAAACATTGTCGCATGCTCACTTCTTCTTGTCTTCACAAGAAAAATACAACTGTTTGACGGGTCACCGTCAGTGCTTTAAAAACTTAATATAGCTCATAGCCTGAGCAATAGCAACATGGGGTCATTGAGAGTTCGTATAATCTTGTCAGAAATATTCAGCCACATTGTTAATGTAAGGCCAATACCCTCTGATCGTTAACACTTTATATTGTTGTAAAGTCCACTTGTAGAAAGCGTATAAATAAACAATGTAAAATGACTCATCTATTTTTTACTAAGTTAATTTAACTCTGTAAAAACACTTAACATTTGAATTCCTGTTACTAGCAATGTGCTCTGTGTTTCAGATCTTCTGTCATTAAACAGGTGAAAGCTATGAAAACGACATGGGAACAGAAAATGGAACTCAGGAATGAAAAAAAAAGGTTAAAGGACATACAGGAACAATTGAAGACAGAAAAAGATAAAGAAAAACAGGTAAGCCTATCATGTGATGCATGCTAGTGGTATTCACATTGTAATTTTATTTTTCCTCTTAGTACCATAACTTAACATATTCAATAATATAATTTTTTTTTTACAGCTTCGGAGACAGAGAATGGAGGCAAACAAGAAGCGCAAGTTAGAGAACCAAAGAAAAGCAGAAATAGTGCAGCCTGTAAGATATACTATATTTAGCTATTTATTAAATAGTTTATTGAGGATAGGATCATCTATTTATGATGTCTCATTTAGAGGGTCCAAAAGGGGGATATTCTGGGTTTTGCTGTGATAGGTAAAAACCATTGGCCTGAAGCATACTAATACCAACTTAAATGCATGGCTAGCATTGAGATTCCAGAAATCTAGGTGCCGACTGCTTTACAAAGTGTGTTGTTAATTAATTAATTAGTGGAGATTTACCAAATGAATTCTGGGACCCAGTTGTGGGTTACAGTAAGATTTTTTAAATCTTGCAAAATGCTATGTACATTTATTTATTTATTTTTTTTTTTTTTGTATTCATAAATACAAAATTTTGGTCAAACCCACTAACATCTTTGTGCATATAAAGTAATCACTAACCTATACTCAAGTAGCTTGTAAGAGATTTTTCTCCAAGCTGAGATACATTTAAAGCAAAGATCAATGCAATAAGTTTTAAAATTTTAAATGAACTGAATGCTGATGCTACCATAGACCATGATGGCAAAATGATACCCAGCTTAACGGCATGGGCGGGAGTACTTTTCTTCATAAATCCACCAAAGCATAAATTTCCCACTTATTTGATCAGTACAGAATAACCATCAATGAATCTAAAAATGACATTGTTAAGACCCTAAAGGCATTATTTATTTATGAAAAACCGGGTTCAAAGTAGTGTGTTCAGCGTCATTTGTTTACTTTTTTGGTAACAGGAGTTCTTTTAACTTAATGCTACATATCACCACAGAAAATGTGTTCAATACAAATAATCAAGCATTTAGAATCCTGCATCAGTTTGTTGTTGCTTTAAAAAGAAAAATTTTATCTTTATACTTTTTTTCTGAATGCATTCTTGTTTCAACTTTTAGTAACAGATTATATAGTATGACCATTGCAGTAGGGAAGTGAGTGGAGGGGGGTCTAAAATTGTAAAAATACATTTTTTGGATGCTTCTAATCTATGGATGACTATGATTTCTTTTAATAATTCCTTTTGGAGATGATTTTTCATCTCATTTCCATGAATACTTGACATGATACTTTACTGGTAAAAAAAAAACTATGTTAAGAATTTGTCATTTTAGTGTATATTATGGCTACATTTAACAATTGCTTTTATTTTTATTGTATTAGAATGAAATTGAATGTATTCATTGATCATCAAGTATTGTTTTATTAACAGATAAAAAACACAGCAAAGATAAAGAAAATGAAGAAGAAACATTTGAGGACAATTGAAGTCAGGTGATGGTTAAATATCAACAATGTTTAGGTAAAAGTAATAAAGTTGTTTTGTTGTAAATAAATAAACTGAAATAAGCAGGATTTGTTCTGTTTATCCTATAAGTTGATTGTTGAGATAAGTAAAGCATTGACATGATTTACAAAATATAACTTTTGTTAGGAACAAGTTTATTTGAAATTGACATTATTCATGACATAGGTTAATTAAACACTTGAAAAACACCAAGACAAATTGCAGTTCTAAACATATGGACATGAGCTTCTCTAGGCAAATGTTTTAATTGAACCAAAAATACGTTTTTCTAGTTAAAAAAAAACCAACAGTGTTAGTACAGTTACTAAACACCAACAGTCGGATATATATGTCAATATAGTTGTGCAGATCAATTTTAGTGAGTGTATACTAGTTTGCTTAGCACTTTAAAATTTACCAAAACTTAACCCAATGGAAAAATTTCTCCTATCACAACAGTGAAACAAACCACAGTTCCAATCACTGCCAATTGCCTAACAAAAATAACTTTCATAACAAAACCAAAAAAAAAAAACAGAAAATAAATTAATGGGTATTTGTTGAATGATGCCAAAATGAGTTTGTAAAATATCTTCTTTTCTATTGTTCCTAATAGATTATGTAGGATTATATTAAGCAGCAAGTTCAAGTTTATTACGTATATAAATAAACATTTAAATAACAATCTAAAAACTGTACATGTAACATGAAAATGGTTAGGACATTCATTAAGGCGTTACCTGGGCTAAAGCACACCTCAGAGATATTCACCTCACATGCACAACAGAATAACAATGACAAGAATGCAGTCATACATGCCTTTCCCCTGTTGACAGCCAAGCTGACAGACAATATGTTTACCATATTGTTTAAACACTGGTGAAACCATTTACGTTAAAAAAACAAGCTCGAACAAGTGGACTAAGAGAAGTCACAAAATAACTAGAAAAAAATGCTTGCTAGTGAGTTGAAACAAGACATGCTATTCGAAAGAAAGGGTCTCATATTTTACTTCCATCCTTTATATTATTCAGATAGTTTTCAAGAAACAAAACTAAGGTTGATAATTAACAGTACTCCGGTACTGTAAATCTGATAAAAATGATTTCCAATACAGCAGTCACAATATTTAAACAAAGAACAACACAATTTAAAAAGCAACCTATTACAAAGCAACCAAAAGGTAACTAAAATTTTTTTAAGCTGGAAAAAATGTATAATTAGGCGTAGTGATTTTCTCAGTTGAAGTTAGGTTTTATTAATAAAGTTCAGCTACAAATTAAGAAAAATAAGCTTGAACACAATAGACACCCATTATTGTTGATTGTAGAGCTAGTCTTAATGCTAAAAACTATTTAGTGTAAAATATATAAAATAATGTCTGTAACATCTAAATTGGCAGTCCATTAAATGTAAACCATTTTCATTTCTATGAAACTAAATGAGAGATGCTAAACAAAATATATGATTAGAACTTATTTTCTCTGAAGGCATGAAATAGCTACCAACGTCTTGGGTCCTGAGAAGTCACAATTGAAATGAGTAAAACAATGAAATGGTCGGTCAGACATAAAGAGATTAAAGCAGTAAATGTGCCAGTGCCTTATACAATACTACATGTTCATCTGAATCAACTCAGCTGGACTGCACACAATTCTTCTACACAACTTGGTCTCATCAGTAGATAGTTTCTTAGGAGAAAGCTCAAGGGAAAATGTACATCACCATAATCAATGTTTCAGTCCAAAAGCATTTTGTCATACTTTAAAAGTTGGCTGGATTTTACAACTGGCATTGAGGAATTACTAATCAGCTGGTCTTTTTTCACTAAACTTTTTTGTGTGCTCTTCAGCATTTTTCATAAACTTTTTCCTGTCCTTGGTATATTCTTCTGCTAGATCTGCTCTGAGAGGATGTTCTGGTTCAGGGTCGTTGATTAAAGCAATCAGAGAACTCACCACTGAAAATAGTCAAATATTGGTCTTTACCTTATCTAGTACTTACTTTAAATCTTAACTAATAAACATTCCCAAACCCAAAAATACAAAAAATCAGTGTTGAGAAAATGATGTATTTGTACTGCATACCTTCAGCCAACAAAAGCTAGAAGGACTCACCTTGGTCTGTTTTTGTAGCTGGCTTCCAGTTTTCTGCATTAATGATAGGTAGACACACTTGGCCTTTTTCATCAATGTTAGGATGATAAATTTTTGTCTTGAAAATCACTTTGGGTGGTTTGAATGGATATTCAGCAGGAAATGCAATTTCTATTTTGAAAGCCCCTTTATTATACGGAGGATTTTCCTGGGGGAAAAATACATTTAAAGGCATGGAACAACGGTTTTCACTCTATAGGAATGCATTTTTAAATAAGAATAAGAGGAAAAGTTATGTAGCTTCTAATAAAATTCTCTTACAGTCAAAAAACTACTTAAAATTACGATTTTATAAGAGAATTAAAAGCATGTTATCATATTTTAGAACAATTTTAGAACTCATAAAAAATAGTACAAACTGGAACTATTAATCCATGCCACAGGAGTATATTAGACTCATCTACACATATGTCTCGAAAAGATTTCTTGAGAACAGAACTTGGTGATTTTAGGTCCCCTAGTTCCTGATGGATCATTTTAAAAATATGCAAATATTAATGTGAAATATAAATTTTATCAAGTAAAAAATATTTATAGAAATGTTTAATAGCATAGCTGTTTGTTTTACTATGGCACTGCTTGTCTGCACTAATATTTCATTGGTGTATTTTAAATAGAAAGCAAAATACATTTTTAAAATAACATGCTCTAATAAGTTTAAGTTTAATAGATAAGTATTTTATTGTTACAATTATGGGAGCACTTATTTATGACATTCACAGCGATGGAAGGGGGAGGGGTCCAATATATTTGACTTTAGTGGATTTATGCAATAATAAAAAATTATGGTAACAGTGGCTTGCTGTTACTAAAAAATAAACAAGTGAGTCCATTTTTCTTCACCAGTGGTGGGTATCTTGTAATAATTTGTTTTCTAGTTGTCTCTGTAAGTGCAATTATTATTGTGCAGCTATTAAGTTATGAACAAATCGAGTTGGCTATTCAGCTTATGTACTTCTTGAAAAAATTCAATTTTTATTTGTTGAAAAACAAAAATTGCAATTACTTCTGTCATACTTAGTACAAGCAACCATTTTTATATAGAAGCTTGTACACATTAAAATATCAATGGTGTTCAGTAAGTTGTTTTTTTTTAAGTTTTTATTCATCCCAGTGAACACACTCTACTGTTCAAGGCCTACAAAAAATCAAGAAAACCATTTTTAGGAAGTTACTAGAATGTTAGTCTTGATTTTCTTTCACCCAGTAACAATACATTGGGATAGAGAAAAGTGATGGTATAAGGGAATAAATGTTTTAGTTTTAGTGGACATATTTTTTAAAATAGTCTATGCGTCTCAGTAATTCTGTTTGTGTTCATATGCACTTGTTGACATTGAGTGGTGGACCATAGTCTCACATTGTATATCAAGATTTTTAGTATCGTTACGCTAGTTGCCTGACAGAAACAACTAGTTTTTGTTTTTTGAGGAATGAATTGTAAAGTCTAAAATTATGGACATTATTATTGTATTAGTAATTTTATTAGTATATTGATTTTTTTCTTCACTCTGGGCCGACTGCAGCTGCATTGAATTTAATTCGTGACCGGTGGTTATCCTCGTCAACGCTGCGTGGCCTATTCGTCTATTTAATTTGTATGAAATACTGTATAGTATTTCTATCAATGCTTTTTCAGTGGCCTTTTTCAGAGCTAGGCGATTTTTAGACTTTATTGATCGGCCGTTAGCCTTTGCCATTGCTGCGTATTTTAAACAATGCTCGTTCAACTTTTCTTTTGCCGCTATAATCTGTTTACTGGCATTTTTAGTGTTTAATTTTTTTTTTTTATAGCTAGGCCTAGATCTAGTTAATTTTTTTTTACACAAGCATTATTTTTGTCTGTTAAAATTACAATTGGTATAAGTACAGGTTGGAGAGCTTGTATCATTTTTTTTTCGTGACAGATTTTATCAAGATAGATCTAGTTGAAATAGAATATTTAAATTACTTCACCTTACTACATTTGCTTTATCTTATAGGAGTTTTAAATTAACATGTGCCTTTTGTGTAGACAAAAAAAAAGTTAAGTTTTAAAAATAGTCTTAGCTTTGTATCCATTCTCCTCTACTCTGTTATAATTTTAAAAATGTATTAACTAGTTTAGGCCGCAAATTGCGTGCTTCGCTCCGCATTATGCTAAATCTTTACCCTAGGTAGCACGGGATATAAAAAAAAGGTATCAGGAAAATAGTCCTAGTAGATTTAGGACTATTTTCCTGAAACAATTTACTAAAGAGCAGTTTGATTTAGATAGATGCTAAATCAAACTGCTCTTTAGTAAATTGTTTTTACAGCTATCTAGCATGCGTGATAGTAGATTATATAGATATAAGTCTATATTATTAAGCCTATGTGAACTTAAAAAAATAACAAGAATTAGCAAAGAAGGTCTGTTTTTCAATTTGGCTAAATGCAGGGGGGGGGGGGAGAGAAGTGAAGACACCGAGCATCTCGTGAACTTGTGCTCTCTCTATGACGTGTACTGCTGAACTCACAGTGACCCTAACGACCGTGGTGGTCATTTTTCACCCACGGGATAGTAAACGTAAGCAAGCGATCACGCAAGTGACGATGTTTTGAAATTGTATTTTTAAAAAATCACACATCATGTTTTCAATATGAAAAAAATTAAATGTAAAAAAGACACTAACCCCGGGTTCAAACTCGGAGCTTCACGTCTACGAACTGTATTTTTTTATAGACTATCATAACTATCATATTATTTTAAGTTTGAATATTCAATATTGTCTTCCCATATTTAAAATTAGAATTTCAAATAAAAATATTTATTAGGGCCTATGGTATTAATAACATCTAGAGTAGAATTTGTAATGTAGGCCTATATTTTCCTTTACCAATTTAGTAAATAGCTAGATTTAGGTTTATTATTAACAAGTTGTTTTTTTTGGGTTTTTTCTGTGAGTAAAATAACCTATGTATGTTTACACAATTACCGTGGCAGCATTTTAAAACCTGTGTACACAAGTTCACAACGTCCTGTTATGCCAGCTGGGAGGCAAAATGTGGTTTTTGGCTTTCATATTTACATTGTGGATAGGGTCTAACTTTTAAATCCTTTTTTTCTTGGCATCTGAGTAAGCTAGATAATTAAGTGGTCTCTAACTCTAATGGTCTGTTAAAGGCCATTAAAGGTAATGGCTTGACATGGTTTATGTAAAATAACAGAATATTTTATTTTAAAATTTCATAATATTAATTATTAATTCAAACTACAATTTAGATCTAGATTCTAGATCTAGAATCTAGTCTAAAATGAGCTAAAACCTTCAAAATTAATACCTAACGGCTAGCGCCACTAATGGATTAAATATATATGGATGCCTAAATTATTCAGTGATCATGTTTAAATTGAAAATTAAGTAAATTTTAGATTTAGCAAGAATATCTAAATAAGCTTTTACTTTTAAGGCTAAAACTAAAATGTTAAAAACAAGTTACTTCAGTTACAAAAGACCTCACAAAAGGGCCTGAAAGTTTGTCCACTCTCAATAAAAATGACTCACGTATTTGAAAGGCCTAGAGATCTAGAATCTAAATTTTATTCAGACTAGTAAGTTATAAGCCTACATAAGTTAGATCTAGCTAAATATAAAATAATAGAGAAGACAACGGTAGAAGAGCCAACGATTGAAGAAAGAGAAGAATCGATCAACTGGAATTCAGCTTCAGTTCACCCTCACCCTAGTTCACAGATCAGTAAAATTTAGATCTCTGCACGAAATTTTTTGTTTCCCATGATAGCAATATATTATAGATTAACTCTTAATGCGAGGCACATTGTGTTTGTAGAACTAAATAAACTAGTGTTACGTTATTATATATCATTATAAAAACATCCAAATTTCTTAGAAACTTGAAATAAAGTACCTTTTGAAGCCGCCTGGTCGCAGCCATTTTCATAGGATTCAACCTTATACGCCCCCTACAATTTATTTTCATTCAAGAGCAGTTAACTAATTGTTGAATTTCCTTGGTAACAAATATTAGAACGAATATTGCCAGATTGCACACTATATAAGCAAAATAATCAGGTTGGTTATGAAAAATTGTGGGGGGGGGGGAGGATATAGCCTAGACTTAGATCTACAGACTTTATAAGAAATAAGTTTTCAATACACTATAGGCCTAACTAAAAAAAAAACTCCTCTAGATATAGATCTAGATCTAATTGTAAAAGCAATGTTTACTGAAAATATGTTCTAACATCTTAGCCCCACCCCCCGAAGAAAGTCTACCCCCCCCCCCCCCGGAGAAAAACTCTGGAAGAAACACTGTCCGTATGCACTTATGAGCTGAATTTAATCCGCTCTCTTTTTGTAGATCCCAAGTAGAGTCTAATCTGAGTTCTGTTTTCAGCTCCCAAAAAGACGCGTCTTAAGGTTAATACCTCTAGAATAAAAACTGTTAAACAACTTCTGTAATAGGGCCTTTTTTAGGGGTTATCCATAAATGACGCCACACTCGTAGGGGGGAGGGGGGTCCGTAATTTTGTGACGGTGTGTGATGAGGGGGGGGGGTCAGATAGTGTGACGTCGCACTTTTGCATTATAAAAAAAGAAATTTTAGAAAACGAATTTTAGTCGTTATTTCGCGTTTTAGAAAACTGTTATAATATATTGTAATAGAAATTGATTAAAATACTCTATGTTGACAGAGTCCAGACAAGATTTTGGAAAAATATCATATTTTAAGAAAAATTCAACTGCAATTTTGAGGGGGGGGGGGGGTTGTAGGCTGAGGTGTGAACGTCATTTTAGAGGGGGGGGGGGTCTGGCTTTTTATAACAATGTGTGACGGAGGGGAGGGGGGAGGTAAAAATCGTTTTAAAAAAGCTTGACGTCATATATGGATGACCCCCTTATACACAAAAACACTGTCAAAGTAAGGATGCACGAGCACTATTTTTTTTAATTTCATATTTATGGTCGAATTTTGTGCCTTGTAAACTGGCACCAAAAACATGGATACTCTCCTGAAATTATAATCATTAATTAGAATAAACCGGGAGTGATCTCCCCTAAACTTTCTCGAATATTCTTATATAAAACAACAGGGGATGGGAACGGGCTATAGACATGATTTTTAATCCATTTTAAATACTTAAAGTTTTAAAAATAGAATAAAATCTCGTAGACAAAAGAATTGCACACCAAGTGAACGCCAAATTAAAAAGTGCATAATAGTGCGCAATATTATTAGTACTTTAAAAATTTACATTAGTTTTTTGAGAAATCGGAAGTAGCGTAAATTACTACTTCGGGTCAACGGAAATTACTCAAAATTTAACAGAAGGTAGAAAATTAGATCTTTTACTCACATGTGAAATTTCATTTACCTATCTGAAATAGTACTCAAGTAATAGGCTTTTGAAAAATTCAAAGTAGAAAAAGTACCACTTCCGGTTATCGGAAATCGCTCAAAAGTTGATACGATCTACGATTTTGATAAAATACTTATATATGAAATGTCATCAACCTAGCTGTAACGGTACTCAAGTAATCGTGTTTACACACACACACACACACAGACACACAGACAGACACACAGACATACGGACAGGATTGCAAAGCCCAATTTTTCAGAATGGATTACGCATAAAACCTCTTAATTTTGATAAATCTGGATTGATAATTTTTGTCCGATTAAAATAAGTCCTCTATACTTCGGATGTGATGAAGGACTGAGGTGTAATACGGTGAAAATTGTTAAAATTTCAAGAGATTTTTTTGCACGATTACAATACTTTCTCTATACTTCGTTTATACGAGAAAGTAAAAAAAGGGAAAAAAAACACCAATAAAAAAATTCAATTATAATCCTAATAAACTAATGGATAATTTAAAGCATAGAGGTAATTCTTTTGAGAGGTTTGACGAGAGCCTATTTCAATCTTGTTTTGGTCTACATTATTTCCCTTTCCATAGGGATCTATAACATTTATGCCCTAACTCTGACCCCCGAAGTTTAACCTAAAGAAATGTACTCATGTTTTTGTTTGAACGAAAACAGCCCAGATTTGAATAGATTAACATGTATCATCCTGATGAGGTGGTGGACGCCCCCTCCCCATCTCTGGGACGAAAGAGAAATCTTTTATAAATTTATATGGAAAATATATACTTTAACCATTGACTCTCTCCCCTCCCTTTCGTTAATTTGTGCCCCCCCCCCCCTTTCTAGAACAAATGTCTGAATGAGACCCTGGAGCTGATTCAAAGACAATGTGTGTGTGTGGGTGTGTGGGGTTTATTTAGGTATTCCTGTGTTTGTAAGAAGAGGCTTTGATTATATTAATAAAAAACAAGATCACAGGAAAGGGGTCATCCAATTCATCCATAAATGACGTCACGCTTTTTTTTTTGACGATTTTTACCTCCTTCTCTACCCTCCGTCACAAAAAGCCAGACCCCCCCCCCCCCCTAAAATGACGTCACGCCTCAGTCTACAACCCCCCTCAAAATTGCAATTGAATATTTCTTAAAACATCGATATTTTTTCCAAAATTTTGTCTGAACTCTGTCAACATAGAGTATTTTAATCAATTCCTATTACAATTTATTAAAACAGTTTTCTAAAACGCGAAATAAAGTCTAAAATTCGTTTTCTAACATTGCTTTTTTATAATGCAAAATCCTTTTTTTTTTTTAAATTACTTTAACTTTTAAAAATAGAATAGAATCTGGTAGAAAAAAAAAATTGCTCACCAAGTGAACGGCAAACAATAGTTGTATAATAGTGCGGAACATTAGTACTTTATAAATTCATATTCGAAAATAGCGTAAATTACTACTTCCACTCAACGGAAATTACTCAAAAGCTCAAGCTTTCTATTAAAACGTTTTTATGCATTTAAAAAAAAAAGTCATGTCTGCTGATTAATGAGTATGCAACCACTCTATCTCAATCCACTAGCTAGATCCATATGTCACACCGCATGAGTTGTTCATATTTTATTGACATTCTGCCTCGAAACATAAGAATCTGCATGAGGTGCTCTTTATAGATTGTGTGTGTGGATGATACTGCTTACTTATTATTAACATTTTAACAAGAAAACGTGATGCTTAGACATAGACTTCTTTTATTACTTCTACAAATGAACTTAATCGAAAGAAGCCGCCGTCGAACTTCTAATAAGCTTATAGATGGCGCTGTTAAAAATTTATTCGTTCACCGGAAGAAGAATACACCAGTCGGTCTTGCGCAGAAAAAGTGGAGAGCGTACTGCTCAATATTACAATTGTGTTGATTTGTTACAACAATTGAGACAATGATATGAGTGGATCTAGATCTAGTTTTAGATTGGAATGAATGGATATCTCTAATTTGATTTGGATATTTTTACCTCTATACTCCTAAGCAGAACAACTGCATGCCATCATGACGAAGGATAGATTGGCTGCATTAAAAGCGGTAGGTTAACTTACAAATAAATAGGAAATCTCTATGGCTTGTTTTTCTATGGGCCCTGCCCACTTTCAGCAACCAGCGGCTGAGACTGATTCACTCATTTCGATGATTACTTATACCAGTGTCTGACAATATGTTCTTCCGGCCAATGATCTGCGTTGTACCGTGAAGTCTAAAAATAAAACGTCAACATAAACAAACTCACTTTGGCCTAAATAGGTCGCGCTAGGCACCGAGAGAACAGAGATGTGTAGTTTTTGTAACATAAATACTTTTTGCATAGTGATTATGAAAATAATAAGATTTGGAGAGGTGCCATAACAAAAAAAAACTATCTCCCTTCATTATCATTAGTGCTAATTAATTAATTAGCTTAATTACAATATGTTAATTATGCTAATTACTTCGTTAATGCACTTGTGGGTTCGTTTATATTATAAGGTGTGTTTTTTTTTAAAGTTTTTTTTTGTCTTGAAAAGACTTCTTAAACTTAAATATTATCATGACCAAATTAATTAATTATGTTAATCCAGTGATTATTTACAATGGTCAACATTTAATTTTTATTCTGTACTTTGTGGGGGGGGGGGAGGGGTAATTTTTATTCTGTACTTTGTGGGGGGGGGGGGGGGGGTTGGATACACCCCCCCCCCCCCCCCCCCCCCACACCAAGCGTGGCCAGGTCTGAGATATTTGTAAACAGTATTATTTTTTAAACAGCCTACCACCCCTCCCCGACCCGAACATAATAGACAACGATCTATAATACTTTATAGAACATACATATATTTTACTAATTCCCCCCCCCCCCCCTTCTACGTGGGACATAGGAATCGTCCATAAACATCGTCACATTTCAGAGACGGGGGGTGGGGGGGTCGCTATTTTTATTGTAAACTGTGGGGAGGAGGAGGTAAACTTCGTCAAAAAAGTGACATCTTTTAAACTTTCCATGACCACTGCGTGTATATTGATTATTAAATTCCAATCCCAATAAAATGTAACAAAAATCGTTTGACCGCGTAGATAATCGTGGTTATAAATATGTCCATGTATTTTCTTTTTTCGTATTAATAACATAAATCAGGCCTTTTTTGGTGCTTGAGAATCTTTACAAAGCAGTACAAGGTCAAGGCCATATGCAAATTTGCTTACGTCACTTTAAGTAGGTGAGAATAAAAAACACACAGCACTTATCAAATTTTAAAAATAAATGCCCTCCTTTTCAAACATGTTTCTTGTTAAACGTATAGCCATACATAAAACAAAATGTGTTCACATTTTCTTAACCCTTACCCACTTTCATTTACAAATAATATTTTAAATAGGTTATCCTTATGTCAGGGCCAACTAATTAGGCATAGGCCCCAAACCAATAAAATATATTATTACTATTAACATCCCGGGCCGAATGTGTGTTACACCTAGAGCCCTAGACCTACACGTCTGAGCCTTCGAGGGTCATGTGGTGATAAAATTGCAGATCTAATTAATATTCATAAATGGCGTTGGAATAATTTTTTCTGCATGGATATGATGTCGTATTTTGTAAGTAGGATATTTTTTTTCTTTTTATTAATTATCTATTATCTATACCTCCATCAAAGCGTTTAATCAATAAATTCAGCCGCTAAGCCGCTTTTCATCGAAATACTAGATTTAGATGTCGGGTGTCCATCTAAACTTTTGAGACATCACGTGACCTCATTTTCCCGCCTTGACCACTTAGCCATCGATCGGTTACAGTTGAAAATAAATAACAGATCTACCAATATCCCCACGTTCTAGATAATGCAAATTTAAAACCCTACAGGGACAGCCATTTAACACCCGTGTCTATAAAGTTAACGTTGCTTTGTCGCTTTACCGTACTTTACGTTAAGAAATTATATTTTGGCATTTAGCTGCGCGGGCTAGCCTAGATCCGTGCTTTGACCTAATTTGGAACACGTGCCGCGCAACTCTCTGCGGTGTGCTGTTGACAACTTTGTTTGCTTGCTTTACTACAATACGCAATAAAATATGATCAAAATAAATTTATTGTCTGTTTTCTTTGTATTATTTACATACTTTCGGCATCGGCCGATGAAACACGCACTTTATAAGCGTTTTGGTAGACTTGACAAAATATTAATGCACGAAAAGGCAAATATTTAACAATGATTGCTTTTTCGGACGGCAATATTTTGAGATTTTGTGGCGTCATCATTGAAAAAAACGACTATCTCCATTTTTAAAAAGGGTCATTTTTCCCTCATTTTGAAAAAACGCGTTGCGATTTGAACTATAAATTAAATTTAGGCTTCAAAACCGCAGTTTTGACACACCGCGCTGATGACGTCACGCCTTACCAAAACGCTTAGAAAGCGCGTATTTCATTGGCCGATGCCGGATGTAGTCAAATCCCGGAGACTGGTATAAGCAATTAACCCTGAATTTCCTCAACACAATTAAGTATTATGTGTCTACATATTATGCACCATATTATGGCATATGGTCTGTTAACGTAATTTCAGCCTTCTTTTCTTGGATTTGCTTCCTTAGCATTTGTCCAACCAAGAACAAACTGCAACGCAGCAGTGTTGAAGTTGTCTCTTCTAGATGGGTTGCTCAACTTGCTGTCCCCAGCTATCAAGCCTCATCTGCCTGGGGGTTGAACTGGGGGGCAGACCCCTAAACAAAACCCTAATCCCAAACATGAAGAAAGATATAGGCCTAATGCAGTAAAAAAAAATTATTAATGCCATTTGCAATAATGACAAATAAAAAAAAAACCACCATATTTCTAACAGGTTCTGAACCCGAAACCTTCTTGATACCCACCATACTATCTCATATAAATACTATCAATTCTCTCATGCAGCACTTGAAACATTTAGTAAAAAATATCAAAAGGCTCTAGGAAATAATACAAAACTTGTGTTAAAAAACTCTAAAAGTATGTGGAGGTAACTGTACCAACCTCAAACACCTGACACTAGCTACCACTTTTTGGCTTCTAGTTTTGTTATTATTTGGCATTAAATGAAAAGAAAAAAAATTGCAAATACTCTTCAGTCAATGGAGTGTAACACTGCCTCTGTCGGGATATGGTGTGATGGTCACCCACTGGCTGACCCTGAGAGATAACAAAAACAATGATGCTTCTTGTTTCTGGATCAGCTTATTGATTGTGTACAGAGAATTACAATTTCCAGTATAATTGCAAGTACATATTGCCCTAAAATAATGTAAACAAAAATTGATTACATTTTGAATATACAACCACGTGTATATTCACCAAACTAGCAGCCACGTCATAAAATACATTAGAATTATTACAGTTAGTATAACAATACAAACGACAATATGTATCATAAATATAATTAACTTCAAATATCTAGTACCCAACATGTGGCACTAATGTGATAATATAAACAGAAGTATTACAAAATCACATTAATACCTTCATTAAGTCTATATACATCACTCTAGTTCAGGTAACACAGGGAAACATTGCTCACCAAAGAGCATGCAAAAAAAAAACAGTTGCGGTCCCACGGGCAGCGCCAAATAAGGTGTAAATTATCCCCCCTGACTGGTAACCCATGGTACGTGTTACTGAAGAATACGGATGTGCATTTAATTCACTTTTCATTTAAACTTTATAACTATTTAATATCTTTCATAAAAAATCAACCTGCCGGTCCCAACTTTAAAACATATTTGAGTCACCTGGGACAATCTTTCATCAACTAGTATAGATATATGTTTTCACTTTTTTGGTAGCTAAATTAACTGAATAACACTATAGTTATACGAGCCGACCCGCTGCATATCATACGCCGCTATTTAGTTGTTGTTTTTTCTACCTTTCAGTAATTCATAATTTGTGAATTCGACAGTACCAATACTACCCCTAAAAATATTTGCTTAAAAACACTAAACCCCCCCTCACCCCCCCCCCCCCCCCCCCCCCCCCCCCCCGTGAAAGCAGCCTCCTCTTTCTTAGTTACCTCCTCTGTGTTTAAAATCTTTTCAAACTAAATTATCTGTCCTTAATAGCCGTCACCAAACCCGTCTCTGTGATTGTAAAATGTAAACAGCGTGAACCACAGCTCACCAGCCCATGTGACTGGGTGGGTGGGGGTGGTAGCGATAGAGAGGAAGAGAGGGGACTGTAAGGCGCGCTTGCAGCTTGTTTTCGAACGGCTCCCAGAAGAGAATTATATATATATAGATTCTTAACATTTTATAATCGTTGTTTTGTGTCTGTGTGCACATTTTAAAAATAAAACAAGATCTCTCTTACATATTTTAACAAACAAGCGTACATAGTTAATTAAGTAATTATTAAAAGCTTGCAAAAGGGTCCTGTGTAATATAATTTATAGGAATGAAAATAAAAAAGAAGAGACACTTTCCCTGCAAAAAGTGCTTTAATGATAATTCAATTGTAGTTTACTATAGGTAGCCTGTCAATTGACCTACTTTTTTTTACCGTCGTCATGGTAATGATGGCTGCAGAAAACAATACTGTAATTCCATTTTTTCACAATGTTTCATGGTCATTTTAGAAGTATAACATATAATCGTTATTTTTTCATATTATTTAACGATACTGATCTATTTTAAACAATGGACAATTAGTGATTGATGCAAACTTGCCTTTTGCACATTTTTTGTTTAATCACTGAGAATATTGCCAGCCCATTTTGTCCTCTGTGTATTTGAATGGGAACAAATGTTGCTAAACGGCAGTGAACGGTCAATCGCGTCACAACACCCCTTATTAACTAACCCAAGGTGTAACTGAGTATCAATCATATCATCATAGCCAATTTCAAACAAACATGTTTTTTCACAAATCATTTTCTAGGCTACCAATTAAACTTGATAAATATAAATGGTATCAAATTAAGTGTAAATAAATGTAGTTTCTAATTGTTAAAGTAATCTTGGACAATAATGAAGTTTAAAAATCTTATTCTGCACCCTAACTGTAGATGTTGAAGAGTATTTGACTGAAAATTTTCAGCCTAACCCAAAGCTCCTCTCTAAAAAAAATATTTCTGGTCAAGGTAACAGATTAGAATATAAACTCTCTCAGGCATTTCATATACAATTTCACTTAGTTTATTATAAAATACACCTAAAATTGTTTGAAATGCTTTCAGGCATTTCATATACAATTTCACTTAGTTTATTATAAAATACACCTAAAATTGTTTGAGATGCTTTCAGGCATTTCATATACAATTTCACTTAGTTTATTATAAAATACACCTAAAATTGTTTGAAAAAGGCTCTAAGCTGGGACGAGTCTCAGGCCATCAGTATGACATAAAAATGGCTGCTGGCACTGTGTTACTTGCAATTACTCATATCCCTCTATTGGCTATTGAATGCAGCAAATTTTGACACTGAAGTTAAGGATGGATATACTCCAGAAAACAGCGCTACTACTATTTAAAGTGAAAGTGTTCTAGCTTGGGGCATGATCGAGGTAGGCACAGTTACTCTATGCCTGTAAATAGGAGCTAAATTTAGTAAACCTCAACAGGATGTGAGAGGATATAAGCACCTTGCATATTTCTTCAAAGAGTCCAACTAGCTCGGCCTCCCATTGTCCTCATGTTTATTTTTTAGACAGTTTTTTCAGAAATTTCCATCTCTTAGTTTGTCAAGACACAGTCATTGTAAATACAATCTAGATGTAATTGATGGCTAACTAGCCTACTGCAAATCTACAGGCTTAAATAGTAAAGTAATTCTATGAAGGTGGTAGCTACACATTTCTTGCATATAGTGCAGTTAGATCTAAATTTAGAATCTAGTTATCTAAGAGTCCATTAGTCTAAAATGAAATGACAAATCAACGATTTTAATCAAGTAGTGATTCTACCAATCTTTGCTTATAAAACACAAACCTTAAGGCTTAAGTCTGAGCTAAATTACTCAGCCTATATGAAATTGATTCTATGATTCACTATGCCTATTGTTTTATCTACTTGCCACTGTCATTTGAAAAACAAAAGATTTTGAACTTGATGTGGTCTTACTACTTAATAGTATTAGGCTTCAGTCTCAAACCTGGGGGGGGGGGGGGGGAAACAAACACTATAACCTGTTGGTCACTATGTTAATATACTGAAATAAAACACTTGATTATTTTTATCACCATCCACCTGGTATTCTGCTGTGATAGTATTGCTAATTTCATTTTTTTTATTATGATCTGAAAGTTTAGACTTGAGGGTATCTAAATGGTTTATCAATTTTTCCCCCAACTAATCTTAAGCATGAGTCACCCTGAGCCACATATCTACTCCATCCATCTGCCAGTATAAAACTATAGGCACATCCAATAAAATAAGCCTCTAGCTTCATCTTAGATTATCTTTCAGATATCAGCACATCAATAGTGAATTTTAATTCACTTAATACAACAACTCTGTTTAAAGGTCATGAATTATGTTGACAGCAAATTAATCAAGTGACTTCATTTTAGATTATTATTAACACCTCCTTTTATATAAAGTAAAGGCATGACATAAAATAAGCAGGAGCATCATTACATGATCAGTTGTGATTTTGTAAACACTGCCATCTAAGTATGGTTGGGCTGTAACAGTTGGCCTATAGATTTCTTGCTGGTTGGGTGGGAGAGCTAACCCAGAAGTCCTGGGTTTGAGCCCCTGTGCAGATGAGATTTGTTAGCTGTTAAACACCAACCCGTATAGGAAGAAAACTAATGAGTCAAATAGGAGATTAGCACTGTTAAGCAGTTTCTACAAGCGCAACTGAAGTTGGAGCAAAAATAAAATGCTTAGCTTTCATTTCGATTAAGTAACTAAGGCAGAGCAAAGGATCAAAACATGTGAAACCCCTGCTACCTGTAATTAATGCCAGGGTATGATCCTAGGCAACCCCTGCTACCTCTAATTAATGCCAGGGTATGATCCTAGGCAACCCCTGTTACCTGTAATTAATGCCAGGGTATGATCCTAGGCAACCCCTGCTACCTCTAATTAATGCCAGGGTATGATCCTAGGCAACCCCTGATACCTGTAATTAATGCCAGGGTATGATCCTAGGCAACCCTTAATTCCTGTAATTAATGCCAGGGTATGATCCTAGGCAACCCCTGCTACCTCTAATTAATGCCAGGGTATGATCCTAGGCAACCCCTGTTACCTGTAATTAATGCCAGGGTATGATCCTAGGCAACCCCTGTTACCTGTAATTAATGCCAGGGTATGATCCTAGGCAACCCCTGTTACCTGTAATTAATGCCAGGGTATGATCCTAGGCAACCCCTGCTACCTATTATTAATGCCAGGGTATGATCCTAGGCAACCCCTGCTACCTATTATTAATGCCAGGGTATGATCCTAGGCAACCCCTGCTACCTGTAATTAATGCCAGGGTATGATCCTAGGCAACCCTTGCTACCTGTAATTAATGCCAGGGTATGATCCTAGGCAACCCCTGCTACCTATTATTAATGCCAGGGTATGATCCTAGGAAACCCCTGTTACCTGTAATTAATGCCAGGGTATGATCCTAGGCAACCCTTGCTACCTGTAATTAATGCCAGGGTATGATCCTAGGCAACCCCTGCTACCTATTATTAATGCCAGGGTATGATCCTAGGAAACCCCTGTTACCTGTAATTAATGCCAGGGTATGATCCTAGGCAACCCTTGCTACCTGTAATTAATGCCAGGGTATGATCCTAGGCAACCCCTGTTACCTGTAATTAATGCCAGGGTATGATCCTAGGCAACCCTTGCTACCTGTAATTAATGCCAGGGTATGATCCTAGGCAACCCCTGTTACCTGTAATTAATGCCAGGGTATGATCCTGAGGATTTCACTTCTTTTGGCTTTCTCATTGTCTGGCAAACAGGAACCATAATTTAATTAGAGAATTGTTTGAGAAAATTGGGCTTGAAATTTGAGGCAAATTGATTAATAAAGAAACATATCAGGATTCTGAAATTTAAAAGAAGTTAATGTAGATGATTTTGTAAGTGGACTCCTTCAATTATTTTATTTTAATAAACCAATCTGTAAAAGAAATCAATAGTTGACTAGCATTATTATTGATGTTATTAGTCAGATTTTCTCTGGTTTCTGTATTTTCAGGCCCAAAGTGATGATGATGAAAATGATGACGTGGCTGTCACAGTTGACAGCAGTGGCTTTATGGAGGAGTTTTTTGAACAGGTAGGCCACAGCTACAATAAAGTTCTGTTACATGGAAATAAGAATCTTAGAAAGATAGTCATTGACAACTTTTCTAATTTGCTGCTTCCAATTGTCTAAGTAACACATATCCAGGAACTGTAATTGAAGGGATCTTGGACTGTCATGAAAAAACAAAAGCCCACTTGTATTACTGATGATCTATTAGGTATGGTACTAAAACAAATCTAGGCTCAGATGGAGCTGAAGATGGCTGATGACCACAAGTAAAGTGTGTGCTATAAATAATGCATGACAACTCATGTGGCCTGCCTCCTTTGCTGTTTTAGGTTCTTCAGTAGTCATTATTTAAGGTATAAGAAGAAATGATGAGGAGGGTAGGGGTCAGGGTACTCTTAGCTAAGTATCCCAGGTTCACAACTCAATGTCCAGCCATTGTTTGCAGGTGGATGAGATCAGAGAGATGATAGACAAGATAGCCTCCAATGTTGATGAGGTCAAGAAAAAACACAGTGCAATATTGTCAGCTCCCAACACAGATGATAGTAAGTATTTTTACATCATCCACATAGACACACCCACCTAGACACTTTTTACATCATCCACATAGACACTGGTTACATCATCCACATAGACACACCCACATAGACACTGTTTACATCATCCACATAGACACACCCACCTAGACACTGTTTACATCATCAACATAGACACACCCGCATAGACACTGTTTACATCATCAACATAGACACACCCACCTAGACACTGTTTACATCATCCACATAGACACACTCACCTAGACACTGTTTACATCATCAACATAGACACACTCACCTAGACACTGTTTACATCATCAACATAGACACACTCACCTAGACACTGTTTACATCATCCACCTAGACACTGTTTACATCATCAACATAGACACACTCACCTAGACACTGTTTACATCATCAACATAGACACACCCACATAGACACTGTTTACATCATCAACATAGACACACCCATCTAGACACTGTTTACATCATCAACATAGACACACTCACCTAGACACTGTTTACATCATCAACATAGACACACCCACCTAGACACTGTTTACATCATCAACATAGACACACCCACCTAGACACTGTTTACATCATCAACATAGACACACTCACCTAGACACTGTTTACATCAACATAGACACACTCACCTAGACACTGTTTACATCATCAACATAGACACACTCACCTAGACACTGTTTACATCATCAACATAGACACACCCACCTAGACACTGTTTACATCATCAACATAGACACTGTTTACATCATCAACATAGACACTGTTTACATCATCAACATAGACACTGTTTACATCATCAACATAGACACTGTTTACATCATCAACATAGACACACTCACCTAGACACTGTTTACATCATCAACATAGACACACTCACCTAGACACTGTTTACATCATCAACATAGACACACCCACCTAGACACTGTTTACATCATCAACATAGACACACCCGCATAGACACTGTTTACATCATCAACATAGACACACTCACCTAGACACTGTTTACATCATCAACATAGACACACCCACCTAGACACTGTTTACATCATCCACATAGACACACTCACATAGACACTGTTTACATCATCAACATAGACACACTCACCTAGACACTGTTTACATCATCCACATAGACACTGTTTACATCATCCACATAGACACTGTTTACATAATCAACATAGACACACCCACCTAGACACTGTTTACATCATCAACATAGACACACTCACCTAGACACTGTTTACATCATCAACATAGACACTGTTTACATCATCAACATAGACACACTCACCTAGACACTGTTTACATCATCCACATAGACACTGTTTACATCATCCACATAGACACACTCACCTAGACACTGTTTACATCATCCACATAGACACACTCACCTAGACACTGTTTACATAATCAACATAGACACACTCACCTAGACACTGTTTACATCATCCACATAGACACTGTTTACATCATCAACATAGACACTGTTTACATCATCCACATAGACACACCCACATAGACACTGTTTACATCATCCACATAGACACTGTTTACATCATCAACATAGACACACTCACCTAGACACTGTTTACATCATCCACATAGACACTGTTTACATCATCAACATAGACACACTCACCTAGACACTGTTTACATCATCAACATAGACACACTCACCTAGACACTGTTTACATCATCCACCTAGACACTGTTTACATCATCAACATAGACACACTCACCTAGACACTGTTTACATCATCAACATAGACACACCCACATAGACACTGTTTACATCATCAACATAGACACACCCATCTAGACACTGTTTACATCATCAACATAGACACACTCACCTAGACACTGTTTACATCATCAACATAGACACACCCACCTAGACACTGTTTACATCATCAACATAGACACACCCACCTAGACACTGTTTACATCATCAACATAGACACACTCACCTAGACACTGTTTACATCATCAACATAGACACACTCACCTAGACACTGTTTACATCATCAACATAGACACACTCACCTAGACACTGTTTACATCATCAACATAGACACACCCACCTAGACACTGTTTACATCATCAACATAGACACTGTTTACATCATCAACATAGACACTGTTTACATCATCAACATAGACACTGTTTACATCATCAACATAGACACTGTTTACATCATCAACATAGACACACTCACCTAGACACTGTTTACATCATCAACATAGACACACTCACCTAGACACTGTTTACATCATCAACATAGACACACCCACCTAGACACTGTTTACATCATCAACATAGACACACCCGCATAGACACTGTTTACATCATCAACATAGACACACTCACCTAGACACTGTTTACATCATCAACATAGACACACCCACCTAGACACTGTTTACATCATCCACATAGACACACTCACATAGACACTGTTTACATCATCAACATAGACACACTCACCTAGACACTGTTTACATCATCCACATAGACACTGTTTACATCATCCACATAGACACTGTTTACATAATCAACATAGACACACCCACCTAGACACTGTTTACATCATCAACATAGACACACTCACCTAGACACTGTTTACATCATCAACATAGACACTGTTTACATCATCAACATAGACACACTCACCTAGACACTGTTTACATCATCCACATAGACACTGTTTACATCATCCACATAGACACACTCACCTAGACACTGTTTACATCATCCACATAGACACACTCACCTAGACACTGTTTACATAATCAACATAGACACACTCACCTAGACACTGTTTACATCATCCACATAGACACTGTTTACATCATCAACATAGACACTGTTTACATCATCCACATAGACACACCCACATAGACACTGTTTACATCATCCACATAGACACTGTTTACATCATCAACATAGACACACTCACCTAGACACTGTTTACATCATCCACATAGACACTGTTTACATCATCCACATAGACACACTCACCTAGACACTGTTTACATCATCCACATAGACACACTCACCTAGACACTGTTTACATCATCCACATAGACACTGTTTACATCATCAACATAGACACTGTTTACATCATCCACATAGACACACCCACATAGACACTGTTTACATCATCCACATAGACACACCCACCTAGACACTGTTTACATCATCAACATAGACACACCCACCTAGACACTGTTTACATCATCAACATAGACACACCCACCTAGACACTGTTTACATCATCAACATAGACACTGTTTACATCATCCACATAGACACACTCACCTAGACACTGTTTACATCATCAACATAGACACACTCACCTAGACACTGTTTACATCATCAACATAGACACACTCACCTAGACACTGTTTACATCATCAACATAGACACACCCACCTAGACACTGTTTACATCATCAACATAGACACACCCACCTAGACACTGTTTACATCATCAACATAGACACACTCACCTAGACACTGTTTACATCATCAACATAGACACACTCACCTAGACACTGTTTACATCATCAACATAGACACACTCACCTAGACACTGTTTACATCATCAACATAGACACACCCACCTAGACACTGTTTACATCATCAACATAGACACTGTTTACATCATCAACATAGACACTGTTTACATCATCAACATAGACACTGTTTACATCATCAACATAGACACTGTTTACATCATCAACATAGACACACTCACCTAGACACTGTTTACATCATCAACATAGACACACTCACCTAGACACTGTTTACATCATCAACATAGACACACCCACCTAGACACTGTTTACATCATCAACATAGACACACCCGCATAGACACTGTTTACATCATCAACATAGACACACTCACCTAGACACTGTTTACATCATCAACATAGACACACCCACCTAGACACTGTTTACATCATCCACATAGACACACTCACATAGACACTGTTTACATCATCAACATAGACACACTCACCTAGACACTGTTTACATCATCCACATAGACACTGTTTACATCATCCACATAGACACTGTTTACATAATCAACATAGACACACCCACCTAGACACTGTTTACATCATCAACATAGACACACTCACCTAGACACTGTTTACATCATCAACATAGACACTGTTTACATCATCAACATAGACACACTCACCTAGACACTGTTTACATCATCCACATAGACACTGTTTACATCATCCACATAGACACACTCACCTAGACACTGTTTACATCATCCACATAGACACACTCACCTAGACACTGTTTACATAATCAACATAGACACACTCACCTAGACACTGTTTACATCATCCACATAGACACTGTTTACATCATCAACATAGACACTGTTTACATCATCCACATAGACACACCCACATAGACACTGTTTACATCATCCACATAGACACTGTTTACATCATCAACATAGACACACTCACCTAGACACTGTTTACATCATCCACATAGACACTGTTTACATCATCCACATAGACACACTCACCTAGACACTGTTTACATCATCCACATAGACACTGTTTACATCATCCACATAGACACTGTTTACATCATCAACATAGACACTGTTTACATCATCCACATAGACACACCCACATAGACACTGTTTACATCATCCACATAGACACACCCACCTAGACACTGTTTACATCATCAACATAGACACACCCACCTAGACACTGTTTACATCATCAACATAGACACACCCACCTAGACACTGTTTACATCATCAACATAGACACTGTTTACATCATCCACATAGACACACTCACCTAGACACTGTTTACATCATCAACATAGACACACTCACCTAGACACTGTTTACATCATCCACATAGACACACCCACCTAGACACTGTTTACATCATCCACCTAGACACTGTTTACATCATCAACATAGACACACTCACCTAGACACTGTTTACATCATCAACATAGACACACCCACATAGACACTGTTTACATCATCAACATAGACACACCCATCTAGACACTGTTTACATCATCAACATAGACACACTCACCTAGACACTGTTTACATCATCAACATAGACACACCCACCTAGACACTGTTTACATCATCAACATAGACACACCCACCTAGACACTGTTTACATCATCAACATAGACACACTCACCTAGACACTGTTTACATCATCAACATAGACACACTCACCTAGACACTGTTTACATCATCAACATAGACACACTCACCTAGACACTGTTTACATCATCAACATAGACACACCCACCTAGACACTGTTTACATCATCAACATAGACACTGTTTACATCATCAACATAGACACTGTTTACATCATCAACATAGACACTGTTTACATCATCAACATAGACACTGTTTACATCATCAACATTGACACACTCACCTAGACACTGTTTACATCATCAACATAGACACACTCACCTAGACACTGTTTACATCATCAACATAGACACACCCACCTAGACACTGTTTACATCATCAACATAGACACACCCGCATAGACACTGTTTACATCATCAACATAGACACACTCACCTAGACACTGTTTACATCATCAACATAGACACACCCACCTAGACACTGTTTACATCATCCACATAGACACACTCACATAGACACTGTTTACATCATCAACATAGACACACTCACCTAGACACTGTTTACATCATCCACATAGACACTGTTTACATCATCCACATAGACACTGTTTACATAATCAACATAGACACACCCACCTAGACACTGTTTACATCATCAACATAGACACACTCACCTAGACACTGTTTACATCATCAACATAGACACTGTTTACATCATCAACATAGACACACTCACCTAGACACTGTTTACATCTTCACATAGACACTGTTTACATCATCCACATAGACACACTCACCTAGACACTGTTTACATCATCCACATAGACACACTCACCTAGACACTGTTTACATAATCAACATAGACACACTCACCTAGACACTGTTTACATCATCCACATAGACACTGTTTACATCATCAACATAGACACTGTTTACATCATCCACATAGACACACCCACATAGACACTGTTTACATCATCCACATAGACACTGTTTACATCATCAACATAGACACACTCACCTAGACACTGTTTACATCATCCACATAGACACTGTTTACATCATCCACATAGACACACTCACTTAGACACTGTTTACATCATCCACATAGACACACTCACCTAGACACTGTTTACATAATCAACATAGACACACTCACCTAGACACTGTTTACATCATCCACATAGACACTGTTTACATCATCAACATAGACACTGTTTACATCATCCACATAGACACACCCACATAGACACTGTTTACATCATCCACATAGACACACCCACCTAGACACTGTTTACATCATCAACATAGACACACCCACCTAGACACTGTTTACATCATCAACATAGACACACCCACCTAGACACTGTTTACATCATCAACATAGACACTGTTTACATCATCCACATAGACACACTCACCTAGACACTGTTTACATCATCAACATAGACACACTCACCTAGACACTGTTTACATCATCCACATAGACACACCCACCTAGACACTGTTTACATCATCCACATAGACACTCAACAGTGTCAACCAGCTGTTGAACTATGTTTTCAATCACTCATCCACTTGTTGAACAATGTTTTCAATCACTCATCCACTTTTGGAATAATTTTTTTCAATCACTCATCCACTTGTTGAACTTTGTTTTCAATCACTCATCCACTTGTTGAATAATTTTTTTCAATCACTCAACCAGCTGTTGAATTATGTTTTCAATCACTCATCCGGCTGTTTAATTATGTTTTCAATCACTCATTCAGTTGTTGAATTATGTTTTCAATCACTCATCCACCTGTTGAATTATGTTTTCATTCACTCAACCTGCTGCATCGAGAGTAAAATAAGTGACAAACCACCCCCTTCACATAATGTAATTGTGGTATTTAAAAAAAAACATCACAACTGAGTTGGATGTGTGTTGTTGTATTTCAGAAATGAAAGAGGAACTGGAAGAGTTGATGTCAGAAATAAAAAAGAATGCAAATAAAGTGAGGGCTAAATTAAAAGGTAATTTTTTTTTACTTTTACCTACTCAGGGTAACATCACATCACAGCAACAGCTATCATCACATCACACAACAACAGCTAATGTCACATCACAAAACAGCTAACATCACATCACACAACAACAGCTAACATCACATCACACAACAACAGCTAACATCACATCACACAACAACAGCTAACATCACATCACACAACAGCTAACATCACACAACAACAGCTAACATCACATCGCACAACAGCTAACATCACATCACACAACAACAGCTAACATCACATCACACAACAGCTAACATCACATCACACAACAGCTAACATTACATCACACAATAATAGCTAACATCACATCACACAACAACAGCTCACATCACACAACAACAGCTAACATCATATCACACAACAGCTAACATCAAATCACACAACAACAGCTAACATCAAATCACACAACAACAGCTAACATCACATCACACAACAACAGCTAACATCACATCACACAACAGCTAACATCAAATCACACAACAACAGCTAACATCATATCACACAACAGCTAACATCAAATCACACAACAACAGCTAACATCAAATCACACAACAACAGCTAACATCAAATCACACAACAACAGCTAACATCACATCACACAACAACAGCTAACATCACATCACACAACAGCTAACATCAAATCACACAACAACAGCTAACATCAAATCACACAACAGCTAACATCACATCACACAACAGCTAACATCACACAACAGCTAACATCAAATCACACAACAACAGCTAACATCAAATCACACAACAGCTAACATCACATCACACAACAACAGCTAACATCACACAACAACAGCTAACATCACATCACACAACAACAGCTAACATCACATCACACAACAGCTAACATCACACAACAACAGCTAACATCACATCGCACAACAGCTAACATCACATCACACAACAACAGATAACATCACATCACACAACAGCTAACATCACATCACACAACAGCTAACATTACATCACACAATAATAGCTAACATCACATCACACAACAACAGCTCACATCACACAACAACAGCTAACATCATATCACACAACAGCTAACATCAAATCACACAACAACAGCTAACATCAAATCACACAACAACAGCTAACATCACATCACACAACAACAGCTAACATCACATCACACAACAGCTAACATCAAATCACACAACAACAGCTAACATCATATCACACAACAGCTAACATCAAATCACACAACAACAGCTAACATCAAATCACACAACAACAGCTAACATCAAATCACACAACAACAGCTAACATCACATCACACAACAACAGCTAACATCACATCACACAACAGCTAACATCAAATCACACAACAACAGCTAACATCAAATCACACAACAGCTAACATCACATCACACAACAGCTAACATCACACAACAGCTAACATCAAATCACACAACAACAGCTAACATCAAATCACACAACAGCTAACATCACATCACACAACAACAGCTAACATCACACAACAACAGCTAACATCACATCACACAACAACAGCTAACATTACATCACACAACAGCTAACATCAAATCACACAACAACAGCTAACATCAAATCACACAACAGCTAACATCACATCACACAACAGCTAACATCACATCACACAACAGCTAACATCACATCACACAACAACAGCTAACATTACATCACACAACAGCTAACATCACATCACACAACAGCTACCATCACAACACACAACAGCTAACATCACATCACACAACAACAGCTAACATCACATCACACAACAGCTAACATCATATCACACAACAGCTAACATCAAATCACACAACAACAGCTAACACCAAGTCACACAACAGCTAACATCAAATCACACAACAACAGCTAACATCACATCACACAACAACAGCTAACATCACATCACACAACAACAGCTAACATTACATCACACAACAGCTAACATCACATCACACAACAACAGCTAACATCACATCACACAACAGCTAACATCAAATCACACAACAGCTAACATCACATCACACAACAGCTAACACCAAGTCACACAACAACAGCTAACATCAAATCACACAACAGCTAACATCACATCACACAACAACAGCTAACATCACATCACACAACAGCTAACATCAAATCACACAACAACAGCTAACATCAAATCACACAACAGCTAACATCACATCACACAACAGCTAACATCACACAACAACAGCTAACATCACATCACACAACAGCTAACATCACATCACACAACAACAGCTAACATCACATCACACAACAGCTAACATCACATCACACCACAACTGCTAACATCACACAACAACAGCTAACATCACACAACAACAGCTAACATCACACAACAGCTAACATCACATCACACAACAGCTAACATCACATCACACAACAACAGCTAACATCACATCACACAACAACAGCTAACATCAAATCACACAACAGCTAACATCACATCACACAACAGCTAACAGCACATCACACAACAACAGCTAACATCACACAACAGCTAACATCACATCACACAACAACAGCTAACATCACATCACACAACAGCTAACATCACATCACACAACAACAGTTAACATCACACAACAGCTAACATCACATCACACAACAACAGCTAACATCACATCACACAACAGCTAACATCACATCACACAACAACAGCTAACATCACATCACACAACAGCTAACAGCACATCACACAACAACAGCTAACATCACACAACAGCTAACATCACATCACACAACAACAGCTAACATCACATCACACAACAGCTAACATCACATCACACAACAGCTAACATCACATCACACAACAACAGCTAACATCACATCACACAACAACTAACATCACATCACACAACAGATAACATCACATCACACAACAACAGCTAACATCACATCACACAACAGCTAACATCACATCACACAACAACAGCTAACATCACATCACACAACAACAGCTACCATCAAATCACACAACAACAGCTAACATTACATCACACAACAACAGCTAACATCACATCACACAACAGCTAACATCACATCACACAACAGCTAACATCAAATCACACAACAACAGCTAACATCAAATCACACAACAGCTAACATTACATCACACAACAACAGCTAACATCACATCACATAACAACAGCTAACATCACATCACACAACAACAGCTAACATTACATCACACAACAACAGCTAACATCACATCACACAACAGCTAACATCACATCACACAACAGCTAACATCACATCACACAACAGCTAACATCACATCACACAACAACAGCTAACATCACATCACACAACAGCTAACATCAAATCACACAACAACAGCTAACATCAAATCACACAACAACAGCTAACATTACATCACACAACAACAGCTAACATCACATCACATAACAACAGCTAACATCACATCACACAACAACAGCTAACATCACATCACACAACAACAGCTAACATCACATCACACAACAGCTAACATTACATCACACAACAGCTAACATCACATCACACAACAACAGCTAACATCAAATCACACAACAACAGCTAACATTACATCACACAACAACAGCTAACATCACATCACATAACAACAGCTAACATCACATCACACAACAACAGCTAACATCACATCACATCACACAACAGCTAACATTACATCACACAACAACAGCTAACATCACATCACACAACAGCTAACATCAAATCACACAACAACAGCTAACATCAAATCACACAACAGCTAACATTACATCACACAACAGCTAACATCACATCACACAACAACAGCTAACATCACATCACACAACAGCTAACATCAAATCACACAACAACAGCTAACATTACATCACACAACAACAGCTAACATCACATCACACAACAACAGCTAACATCACATCACACAACAACAGCTAACATCACATCACACAACAACAGCTAACATCACATCACACAACAGCTAACATTACATCACACAACAGCTAACATCACATCACACAACAACAGCTAACATCACATCACACAACAGCTAACATCAAATCACACAGCAACAGCTAACATCAAATCACACAACAACAGCTAACATTACATCACACAACAACAGCTAACATCACATCACATAACAACAGCTAACATCACATCACACAACAACAGCTAACATCACATCACACAACAACAGCTAACATCACATCACACAACAACAGCTAACATCACATCACACAACAGCTAACATCAAATCACACAACAACAGCTAACATCACATCACACAACAGCTAACATCACATCACACAACAGCTAACATCACATCACACAACAGCTAACAGCACATCACACAACAACAGCTAACATCACATCACACAGCTACAGTTTACATCACCCTCTACCCATTGTTTGATTGTTTTTTTGAGCTGGGGGTCTGTAGTGATTTACTGGCCAAGTGTCAGTCCCTTCATGTGGGTAGTTGTTTAACTCCGACAGAAAGCCAGTCCCTACATTTGGGTAGTTGTTTAACTCCGACAGAAAGCCAGTCCCTACATTTGGGTAGTTGTTTAACTCCGACAGAAAGCCAGTCCCTACACGCCAGGATCCCGCCAGCCACTAAGGGTGTCAGTGGGGAGGTGAAGTTGATGGCTGGCTCACTGCTTGCTGCCACACCCTCGGCCCACCGCTCAGTGACTCGCGTCTCTCAGTGGGTTAAGACGCCTCGCATTGATTTTTCTTTCAGTGGAGGCAAGGTGCAGGGCAGCGCCATTCATTCCTGAGCCGGTCAGTTCTCCTCTACCCCTTTCACCTCCCCCTCCCCCTCTTCTCACCAGGTCAGCACCAGTCATCTGTGACTGGTCTTTGTCGTCTGACGATGCTCTGACATGTCGTGACAGTGTGACAGGGCAGTGGCATGTCACAGCCGTTTGTGACAATGTACCAAC